GAATCGAAGTCCCCGAACAGCGCACCGACGTTCTGTGTCAAGAAGCCACAGGGTGGTTGGCGCATCGTTCATGCGTACAACCAATCGAACGATGCGACGATACCGGCGCAGACGCCCATACCTCGAAAAGATGTCATCATCGATTCGATGTCCAAGAGCACCATCCACAGTGCTCTTGATCTGAGAGACGGGTTCTATCAGATCCTAATGCGTGAGAGCGATATCCCTCTCACGCGGTAACCACCCCAAGAGGTATGCTGTGGGAGTGGCTAGTTATGCCACAAGGACGGAAGGACGCCCCCGCGCCCCGCGACTTTCAATAGATGCGTCACGCATCTGTGCTAGGGTGTCTCGTTGGGAAAAACGGCCTACGCACTGACCCCGAGAAGGTCAGAGTGATCAATGAATGGCCTACGCCATCCAACGTGAAGGAACCTGCGCAGTTCCTTGGCCTTGCCACGTACTTGTGCAACTACGTGGACAATTACGCAGGCAAGATTCGCCCGCTGTCGCAGCTCCTGAAGAAGGAAGCTGCGTGGATATGGACTGCTGAGTGTCAGCAGGCGTTCGATGCGCCGATCTTGGCAGTGGCTGACCAAGATCGTGCTTTTCACGTAGTGTGTGACGCATCCAATTTTGCGATCGGATGTGCTATAATGCAACTCGATCACGAGGGCCGTGATCGAGTCGTCTACTACCAGTCGCGTCAGCTGAAGCCAGCTGAGCGAAACTATCCCGTGTATGACAAGGAACTCCTTGCCATGAAGTATGCACTCGCGAGGTTCCGAGTGTATTTACTCGGCAACACGCCGTTCGTGGTCTACACGGACCACGCGTCGTTGCGGACGGTTGTGAAGTCCCCGCACATCTCGCAACGAATGGCGAGGTGGTTATCATTCTTCGCGGAGTACAATTTCCGGGTCGAATACAAACCCGGAAGGTTAAATGTCGTCGCGGACGCGTTGTCGCGATGACCGGACTATGCTGTCAAGACAGCCGACATCAACCGGATTGATGTCGCACGGGCCTACACACCGTCGTCGCCCTTGTTGGACGAGGTGAAGGCCGCGTATGCGGATGACGCAGACGCGAAGCGGCTGATCGAGTTCCTCTCAGCTCCTTCCTACGAAGCACGTCGGAAGATGTCCCCTCGTCTACGAGCGAGTGCACACCGATATCGTGTGCACGACGGTCTACTTCTTTACAGCGCTGTAGACGACAACGCGGAACGCATTGTCGTGCCCAATGATCCTGACCTGCGCAACAGGATCATGTACGAGTATCACGATGTCCCCACAGCAGGACATCCAGGACGTGAGAAGACGTACTCTCTCCTCACGCGAGACTTCTACTGGAACCACCAGTACAAGTGGGTGCGCCAGTACGTTCGTACTTGCGATGTTTGCCAGCGAGTGAAGCCTGCACCTCACTCGCAGGCTCCTCTGCAACCACTGCCGACTCCGTCGGAGTGTTGGGAGTCCATCTCGATGGACTTCGTGTTTGGTCTTCCGCGCGATTCCAGGCGGAAGACTGGTATTGTGGCCTTTGTGGACCGCTTCAGCAAGATGGTGCATCTCGCTGCTGTCGCAGCGTAGGTGACCTCCGTACAGACGGCACGTCTATTCGTAGACATGGTGTTCAAGCACCATGGCATGCCCACCGACTTTGTGTCGGATCGAGACCCGCGTTTCGAGTGTTCACACTTCTTGGAACACGGTTCTCTATGTCGACTGCGAATCATCCGCAGACGGACGGGCAAACCGAGCGCGTGAACCGCGTGCTC